CGTGTCAGGGAAGTCACTGCAGCTTTAAAGTCGGCAATATTTCTACAGATATGTTCAAATTGTGTTGGCTGCCCTGAAAGCACCCCTGCAGGCTGATGAGCTGGGGCATTAGAGGAAGCACTGAGGTAGCGTATGACAGGGAATGTCCAGGCCTCAGCCTTATCAAACACGCCAATGTGAAGTGAGCCGTCCGGCTGAACCAGGATTCTTGCCCCAAGGAAAAGACACGACCCATCTTGCTCAGTAGTGTCCCTCCACTCAAGACCATATTGAGCAAGAGGGGGCGGCAATGACTTCCAAGTTAAGATGTCATCAATGAATCGGCATGTGAACGAGTGTGCTTGCGCAGCGCGCAGATCCCGCTGACGAAGTTCATCGACGAACTGTGCTTCGTCCCAATAGAGCGTAAGGTTGGCAATTTCTGGTCCAGCGTTAATGCCCATAGGGATACCTGCCACCTGATGGCACCGAGTGCCATCCCTTGTGTAGAGATAAGTGTTGGAAACCACAAACCGCACTGAAAGGGTGTCCGCCCCATGTGAAGTAACACACTGCCCGCGACGAGGACCTCCTACAGACATGTACATTTGTACTGAGACTTCTTCCCTGCGGGATCCGCAACAAGGCATAATCATGTGTTTCACGAACCACATTCAGGACATTGTTAAGAATCCTATCACGTGGCAGGTTAGTGTACATGGTTGTAAAGTCTGCCGAACGGGCCGTGCAGCCTCAAAGGGATGTTGCGTTCTGCTTGAGATCCAAGATGACTTCCTCAACACTTTGCACGATCCAACAGCGTTGTACTCCTACTTCTTGATAAAGCTCATTGTTCTTATGGCGCAGAGACTTGATCACGCCTTGGCGACCGTAGCTAAGCGAGCAGGAGGCCATTGTTGTACTCGCAAGAGGCTATGAGGAGGCCTGTTAAGCAGATCTGGAACCGAAGGTTGGCGACATGTCATACAAGGTGAAGACCGGGAAAGGTTGTTTTGCTGAGTAACACCAAGAATTGGGCGAAGACCGGGCGGGATTTACGTGCGATAGGCCATGGTGTTCGAGGATGCTGGCCACGGACTCTGATGCCGGATCGTAGGTAGGGCCTTCAAGATGCTATGACAACTTATAAGTGTACCAGCGCTTGCAGCAGATTGCCATGTTGTCTGATGTTTTATCGACAGGTGCTATAGCAAATTGCTGTTGTAGCTGTCGTAGAGATGAATTAGCAGCACGTGAGGCAGCTTGACTGGGCACATGGTACTGTGACATAGACAGATTCCGTTGGCATCTTGAAAGAGTTGTTGTGCGCCATCTAAAACTCGTCCAGGCCAAGTTTCAATGCTTTCATCACATCTGTGGTGTTGGCATTGAGGCGGTACTTGGATCCTTCAAAGAAGAGAGCCCACAAGTGTGTATCTTGTATAATAGTGTAGTCTGATGTGGCTACATGACCATCAACAATGTCTGCACAGTGTGCAAATGCTTGTCGGCAAGGACAATTGGCAGAGTCTGGAAGAGGCACACTGCTTGTTATGCTAAGTGCCACTTCTGTAAAATTACAGAACTAGACACGAATGGGGGGCACCATTTTATCACAGATACATATCTCCTTGGCAAGAGCAGACCGTGGATGTAATTCAACGGCCTCTGGTAGTCGAAGGACGCCTCGTAAATGTGTGGTGCTAGCCACCTGATGTATGTGGCGTGAACATTGCATACCACGGATCATGCATTCCAATTGACGAACGTTTGGTGTGAGCTCGGAGTTTGAGACATCCGTTTGTGACCATTGCAACAAGCGAGAGCGCCAGGCAGAGGTTGCTTGTGCGATGCAGAGCCGAGCGCACAAGCAAAGAAACCCGGGGCAATGTCAATAGTGAATGGCCTATCATCAAGAGTTTGCGCTGCGGTGTGAGTAGCAGGAGGATTTGGGCTGCCTCTCGAACAAATCCACCTGTTGGGACGACGAGATCGTCTGACTGGCGATATCAGAAGTGAGAATGCTGACATGAGTAACAAAAAATCAGGTGAAAAACATGATCGCCGAAAGTTCAAGGGTTTCTGCGTTCAGTCCATCTACGCAGAGTGAATCTGTCCCTAAGGAAACCCCGAAAGGCGGCGCCGATGGGTACTAGAAAGTGACGAAATTTGAATTAAGCTAGCGCTACTGAACACGATAAAATTGGATGATTGGACAGGGCCTCAATTTCTGGGGAAAAAACTTCTACTCGACCACTTCATAGAAACAACTATCCATGAATATAAGGCTCGAAGAGCAGATGCTTCGCGTCTGAATCCCACGCATTGGAACCGAAGGATGCATTACATCCGCTTCGCAGATGATTTTCTAGTAGCAATCTCTGGTCCACGATSAGAAGCAGTGAAACTGAGATCTGAATTGGAATCGTTMCTTAGAGACAAACTCCAAYTAACACTGAGTATGGACAAAACCCATATTACCCATGTGTCGAAAGGAGTACCTTTCCTTGGCCACAACATCTTTCGAAGTATGGGGTGGCAACCTTACGGCTCGAAGAGCAGACGCTTCACGTCTGAATCCCACGAAGGCGCGAAAGCGCATAAAGGTTATCATCCTTGTGGGAGGATGCTGTTGAAGCCCCGAGGATGTAATGTGGTCAGGCGCCGGACCCAAAACCCTTCACGAGGGGCAGCTGCACATTTAAACGACTCGGGATCGATGGAACCGTCAACATTCAGATAGGGGCCAGACAACAAAATGAAATGTATGTTGCCTGGTCATGGAGTGATAGAGATAACAATATCGTGAATGTGTTGTTTGAGATAAACGGCGGGAGTGGCAGTGCTGTTGTAATTAACTCGAAAAAGATAGTGAGCGGAGTTCGTGGTTTGCCCAACATATGTGCGGCCAGATGGTATGTGAATAATAGCATAAATAACCCCAGGGGTTGACAAAGCATCCATCCCTGGTTGAATGGGGCTCTGATCAATGCCTCGTAATTGCAGTTCAAATTGTTCCGCTCGTGCCGCTGCTGCCACATAGCGGAACCGCTTTTTAAACCAGTGCCCTGCGGCATAGAAACTAGTGTTCCAATCATGATGTGCAAAACAGTCAACTCTATTACACCGTCGCCCATAGCGGTGACGAGAGGAAGAGTGAGGGGGGTCAGCATAGGGATGACCACAAGAATGACATGTAGTTTGTGCCACGTCCGAATCCCTTTCCTGATTCTCACATTGCATCGATGACATCAAAGGTATTTCACAAATTCCAAAAATTTTACTCTCTTCAATGGAACAAATTTATACGATATGGTAGAGGAGGAAAAAAACTATAGCTAGAAGGTAACACCATAGTCCAGGGTTTTAGGCCCGTCGGTTCAGCTCGGGGAGGTTGCCGACATCCTTTGCAAGAGGTACTCGCCCCAAAGTTGTCCAAGCGATGGTCCTGGCCGAGTTTCAATGCCTTCATCACGTCTGTGGTGTTGACATTGAGGCGGTACTTGGAGCCTTCAAAGTAGAGAGCCCGCAAATGTGTATCTTGTCTAATAGTGTAGTCCACTGTGACCACATGACCATCAACAATGTCTGCACAGTGCAGAAACACTTATCGGCAAGGACAATTGATGGGGTCTGGAAGAGGCATATTGCTTGTAATGCTAAGTGGCACTCCTCCAAAATTGCAGAACTGGACATGAATGGGGGGCACCATTTTATCACAGATATGTATCTCCTTGGCAAGAGCAGGCCAGGGATGTGAGCGTGTGTGTATCTGAATTCTCTCTCAATGTGTGTGCATGTGTGTGTGTGAGAGACAGAGACACACACACACACACACACACACACACACAGAGAGAGAGAGAGAGAGAGAGAGAGAGAGAGAGAGAGAGAGAGAGAGAGAGAG